AATGATAAGTGGTACTAATTTTAAGCTTGCAGCTAAAAATATTTGAGAAACTCTCCTGACAGTTCAACAGTGTCTTTTGTTCACTCTGTCACCATGTGTAAGGAATAAGTGAAGACATGCATTTCAGCAAAGATTCAATGAACAGTTATTAAGTAATCTTTTCACGACTGTGTTAAGCACTGCAGAGGATACAAATATAAGTTAGATAGATCTGTCTACCAGGACTTACAGGTTAGTGGTTTTAACAGACACATTTATAACTAGCTATACATCAAGGCAGAGTGCTATGCTAGAGGTATAAACAATGAGCTGAGCAGCATGGAGGAGGAAGAGAGAAGTGATAAATCTTCAGTGCCTGCTGTTATTGTTTTAAATTGTCACAATTCAATGTAGTCATAGCTCTTCTGCTTCATGAATCCCTGCCAACTGCCCCAAGACTTCATTATCAGAGGACAAGTATCCATTTTCCTCAGGCCAGTGATGCATTAACGGAACAGAAGGGCTGTAGGAAACTGTGGAGCCAAGTGGGAGAAAGAAGGAAATTTCTATCAGATTCAATGTTTAAAAAGAAGGAATGTTGCTCCACCCATTTCTACAAAAGCAGATCTTACGCACACTTTACTTTTACAGTCTGCGACTTAGGGTTGACTTTCATCAGGCTCTTTTATTTCACTTCCACACTGGATATGAAACAGTAGGACAAGCTGACTAGCAATGTGTTTTGTATCCAGGTGCCATGAGAAAACCATGACGAGAACATGCCAAAGCAGTTACTGACTGATAAACTAAAGATGGAAGAAATTTTTGCAAAGATCTGTGGGTGTCATTTGCTGAGAATTGATAGCAACAAGCAGACTGTAAGGCAGCAACCACCAGAGTATGGCTGCAGGCAGGATTCTTAAGATGAGAGGTGGAAAAGATCAGGAATGTCAGTCTCTTCTCAGTATTTGAGTTCTAGTTATACTCATTTCACAGCCCACAGTGGCAACAGAGATGCCTGCAAATTCAAGGCCAAAGTGGATTAGTGAATTAGAAAGCGGATCCGCAAGTCCTTGTGTTGCTCTTCCTTGAGCCCATCCACTCAGCATGGATTCGTTCATGAAACATTTATTGCACTTCTACTCTACACCAACGACTGTGCTATCCACCAGAGAAACTTAGACTAGTGAGACACCTCCTGACACTAAAGCCATTACCTTCTAAAGGGAAGCAACCAAAAATAGTGCCATAGCACAGAGTACCCTAGGAACCTAGACAAAGAGGAAATACTTTGCAGAAGAGGTGACATTTCAGTTGCGCCTTGAAGGATGAGTTGATTCCATGAAGCAGCGCTGGAGTGGGAGAGCACTGTAGGCAGGCAAGAAAAGGTCATGGCAGGAGCAAAAGCAGGTGTGAAGATAGGAAATGCCTTTGCGGAATTGTGAGAAGATGTGGTTAGAGGATAAGACACGTGGTCAGAAAGAATGAATGGAAGTGTCACTAGGAAGAAAGCCTTAACTGCCATGTTTAAGACTTCACAGTTTATTCTGTAGATAACAGAGAGTCTCTATAACTTTTTAAGGACGAGGAGACAAGTAATCTTGTTACATTCTATTATTAATTTGTTATATGTGAATACTTGTTTATATTGTCCGTTTTCTCCTCCAGAATGTGAGTGAGCTCATGAGGACAGGAGCCTTTTCTA